CACCTCAGAACACAAAGATGGCAAGACCTCATCAACATTTCGTAAACACAAACAAGTCCCCAAAAGTTTTGGTCTTCCTTTAATACGCATACTGGGTTCTAACAAAAAACAAGCCGTCAAATACCGAAAAACAGTATACAAAACGACACATCAGAGCAAAAAGAACCCATTTTCCGCAAGCACTGGCAAGACATATTCACACAGAATGACATCGACCATCGACAACGAAGAATTTGACATTGAACACCTCCACACCATTCAAGACCACGTAAACAAGAATACACACCTCATTCATCCATACAGTTACGGCCACCTTACTCGACTTCACTCTGTAAACTTCCTACCAGTTACCATTAAGGAACTTCAGCAAGCTCTAAAAACATTTGAAAAAACACTCAAACATCTCCCAAAAAATGAAACACTACCTGCTATTCATATGCATTATACAAATGCATATGAATATGCATTCGACTGATATGCAAATTTATTTTTCATTTGTCATTTTTGACTGATATGCAAATCAGTAAAAATGACGGCTATTTTCCAGGCTCGCTCAAACACGCCACAATGATTTTCCTCCCTAAACCTAAAACCATACAACCAGCTACAACGCAACGAATAAAACAGGGACTTGTGAGGGACAGTGTCCCTCACAAGTCCAAAACTGCAGACCAATCTAACCTCTAGATATGCACGGGAAGCTCATAGATAAAATGTCAAACAACAGATTATACGAATATCTCACCATCCAAAACACACACGACACTAGACAACACGGATTTAGGAAACACCGAGGGATCCACATAACATTAGCAACATCCCTCGAAACACTTGCCATACACCTTACACAAAGACGCACTACAGATTTAATGCTCAGGCATGTGACCAAGGCCTTCGACAAGATCTGGCACACCGGACTGGCACAAAAATTAATTCAACTCAATCTCCATGCACCCGTCATTTAAAAAAACAGTAAGCAGGGTATCTCATCAACAGGTAACCTGCATCCATAATTATAGGTTGTCACATAAGTCCCGCTCTACAACTACACTCACGTGTCCCTTATGAGGCTTGTCTTTCACCCACCCTATACAGCTTTTACACCCACGAAATCCCACCGCCAATCCCCAAAACGGAGTACATAGCATTTGCAGACGACATTACACAGATAATAGCTGGACGATACCTCACTAATATGCAGTAAAGCAGGCACAAAACGCCATTCAATATAAAAATACAGTCGAAAATGAATGGCTCATCAGGACAAACAGAATCAAGTTTATAGGCATCTCTATCTCCGGGCGCACAATACCTGACATATTTATTGACAACACGAGCTACCCTTGCACAGAGAAAGGAATGGTCTGAGGATTGCACTACACTTCACACGGTTTTAGGCCCTAAATAAGAGCTAGGAAAGCAATGCCTCTACCAATCTACACAAAAGATTTTACGAGGGCTATTCATTAACTAGGGAACATTTTGTAATAAAACGAAAACTAGGTACAGGAAAAATATTTTATTATATATATCTAAATAGTGAATAAAATGCTACTTTTCTACATAGTCACAAAAGAAATTAAGGCACTTATCGTATCGGTGGACAAGCTTAGAAATTCCTTTTTCAAAGAAATTTGCCGCCTGCGATCGCCGCCACTCAGTGTCCCACGCCTGGAGTTTGCCGTCGTCATCAAAACGTTGTGTCGCTAGCCAGTTCTTCATCTTCGGGAACAAGGGAAAATCATTCGGTGCTAGGTCGCGACTGTAGGGTGGATTTGGGATAATGTTCCATTTGAATAAGTCAAGAAGTTCTGCAGTTCTATTTGCCTTGTGAGGTCGAGCGGCGGATTTCAATGACGAAGGAATTTCGAAGATTGTCCACCGCTACGATAAGTGCCTTAATTTGTTTGGTGACTATGTAGAAAAATAGCATTTTAGTAACTCTTTCAGGTGTATATAATAAAATATTTTTACTGTACCTAGTTTTTGTTTTATTACAAAACGTATCCAGTTTCTGAATGGCCCTCGTAACACCACTCACCCAACATAGAACGTACCTTATGACTAACTTTTGCAAGATCGTCTATCATTTACCCTGAATAATTGTATACACCTTATCCAACACAGGAATAACCCAACTGCTTAGAGTACAAACAAGGTTTTCAAATTCATCTCAGTGGTATCTGGGGCTAACTGTTTTAATGTTTTTAATGGGGCGGAAGTTCTCTAATGGTAATTGCCGAGAAGGCTCCCCTCAGCATCTTCCACACACACCACCTTAATTATGACCTTATGATTAGTTTAGGACTTCTCACTCCATGGTCAAGCTGATGATCCGCTTTCGTCGTCCTCCGTGTCCAAGTTGTCGGTAGGCAGGTAACCCCGCCATCGGGTCCCGGATGTAACGTTGGATGTGTTCCGTCTGTTTGCCCTCCTAAGAGCCAGCTGATGCAAGATGCTGTTGCTTGTCACTTACTGAGGGTAGTTTCCCTTAACTGGACAATCCGGGATCTTCTTCAGAAACTTATCCAGTTACCTCTTGAAAGTCGCAAGGGTAAACTCCCCTCGTCTCAGCACCTTTGGTAGGGCGTTACGCAGCCTTGGTCCTACCACTGACAGTGATCCCTCACGAAAAGTTTGTACTCTGGCCGAGGCACGGTTATTAAACGGGGAATCCTGCACAGTCTCCCCTTCCTTTCGTAATAATACGTCACAATTCTGGAGGTCTCACATTAAAAATTGGGAGCCAGTCAAGTTATCATCTTCCAAGTGTACAGTATGATATACCTCTCTCATCTCCTCTCCAGTAAGTACAGTCTCAGGTGTTTCAGCCTTTCCCAGTATAGTTCAGGTCCAGCTCCCTCATGCCACTGATCCTGTACGTAAAGGTCCGCTGCACTGCCTCCAGTTTCCGTACCGCATCCGCTTTGAGCGGCGCCCAAAGCTTACAGCAGTATTCAAGATTGGGGAGCACTAGGGCTCTGAAGAGTGTAATCATTTGCGCTGCTTCTCTTGTTCGAAATGTCTGCCAGATCCATCCCATCCCTTGTCTCCCTCGCGCAACTATTTCATCGATGTGGTCATCGAACGTGGCTTCAGTACACATCAACACTCCGAGATCTAGAACAAGTTCTCTTCAATATCTGTGCCATCCGATGTCAAGTAGCGGTGTGGCATCACGGTCTCGGTGCCAACTCTGTATCTCATTACTTTGAACTTGGTGCCGGTAAATTGCATATTATTCACTATAACCCAATCATAGATTGTCGACAAGTCATCCTGTTACCTCTCGCAGGCTAGGTTCTCTGTGATCTTCATCAGCATTCTTGTATCATCCGCAAATGACGATGTACATGCATGGATAAGCTCCGAGTCGATATCGGCGATAGGAATGAGGAAGAGGATCGGTCCAAGCACTGAGCCTTGCGGCACTCCGCTTTTCACCCTCGCTTTTCTCGATTTAGAGTTTCCAATTGCGACAGCTTGTAATCTACGTATTTGTAAGGAAGTTGTGGATCCACCCTTACAGGTTTCCTCCTACCCCCAGTCCATGTATACTATACTTATATCATATCTATGCCAGCTCACTCCTCCAGTAGGGCCATAAGGCGGTGAACTACTACTACCCACCTCTCCCTACCACTAACCAAAAATACCTTGCGTTTGTTGATGACATAACAAAAAATTGCAGGCTTCAGCCACGTAAGTAAGACATATATAAAAACAAGTACAAGATAGCTCATTAAGGCGAACAGAAATAAATTTAAAATCATACCTATCAGGAGGGGAACACATCAGAAATTTTCATAGACATCACCCACTGACCATACATGATCAAAGGAACAGTCTTAGGCTTAAACTTAACACAACGTGGTCCTCGGGCCCAGATAACAATCAGCTGAAAAGCAACAGCTGTCACAAACCTACCAAAGATACACAAATTCCGTGTATCCTCTTCCCTCCCAACACAAAACGCCCATTATTCTTGCATTTGTAAGATCATCTCCCATTTACCCTAATACCCTTATGCACATTATCAAGAGCATACATAAAACAACGGCAGAAAGTCAAGTCAAAGCCATAATATTTATCAAAAGCACACACCGGTACGACTTTATAACCTAAAGAGCAGTGCACGAACAATGATTGAACACCACCAGAAATTGAACACCACCAGACCACCACAGTCTTCCACAGTCAACCAGGTCCGCCCTCAAAATAAATGACCCAAAGCTTTTCAACCAACTTAATTACCTTCGTCTTCAAGACATCATTGCAAAGCAGCACCGGCGATTCGAAAGTTCCAAATCACAGGCATTAGCCACCCCCTCTACCCTTGTACACATATCCACTACTCACCCAAACTAAAAGCATCTACACGCGGGAACATGTCGCACTTGAAAGTTACTTAAAAATGAACGTGTAATAGTGCAGGTATCCATAATACGATTACTGACTGACGATATCACCGAGAATGACTCAGAGTAATGACGAGAGTAAATGCCTTTTATCAGAATAATTGCTGCCTACCCAACCTCCCTCTTGTGTATCGCGTGACCCATTTACCTTAGAATCTACCCACATCATCATCACCCGATCATCACTTTCGCCTTCATCATATTATCTCTGTCGAAAAAATAATAACACGCTCAATTATTTTTAAAATGCTAAACTTATGTATGTGGAGAGTGCACATAATCTATTTTTGCTTAATACTACTCTGATATGTAAATAATGTTAATAATGAACCATCATCCTCCCATCCATCCTTCACTCATATCTTAAAGAGCCCTTTTGGGTTACAAGCACTAGGCCCCCAAGCCAATTCAACTCAAGTTCCATTGTCCTCAAACTACTCAACTTCCATCCGTCCTTTCCATCCCTTTCATATACTACTTTTGAATTGGCTAAAACTAAAAAAGACTATGGTAGACAAGTGTCACTGATCAATTTCATTGATTAACAGGTGCTAAGTAATGATTAATATATATCTGACTTAGATGCCTGGGTCAACACGCAGCGTGGAGAAGGGGGCTACTACCGCTGGCTTCCCGACGGCCAGAACAATACCATCCATGCTGGTAGCAGTGACAATCCCCTTGGAAAGTGTGCTATATTCGACACCAATGACGATGATCTTTGGCCGGTTGATTGCGAGGTATTGGATTTGGCCATAGCCCTCTGCATCGGCCCCAACACATCCCTGAAGCAGTGTTGAGAAGTATTGAGGCGGTTGCTACAACACACACACATTTTTTTATTTTTCTTGAAATTCAAGCTTTGCGTGATGAGTGAAATATTTCATGGGCCCTTTCCCGTTTGTCAAAATTTAGTTACCTACCTATAGCCTATTTAGATTTGGTCTTCAGGAGGAAATACTTCTCCATGTTGAGATAATTTGCATTATTCTGCCTCGCCAATGAGTTGACAGGATTTATTTTTTGGCGAGCCAGCATGGACACGTTCTGACACTAAAAACTAGCGAGGGTCCAGCAGACACTGCAGTTTCCTGGCTTGCATGTCGAGGAACCTTTAGCGCTGCCATTGAGTCGCTTGCGTTTCTGATGTGCGAAGCCAGTTTGTGTTCAGTGTAATCGAAGACATCAAATGCTGTTGTAACGAGTGTGTTGTGACGAGTGTGTTGAGACGAGTCTGTTGTGACGAGTGTGTTGTGACGAGTGTGTTGTGACGAGTGTGTTGTGACGAGTGTGTTGTGACGAGTGCGTTGTGACGAGTGCGTTGTGACGAGTGTGTTGTGACGAGTGTGTTGTGACGAGTGTGCTGTGACGAGTGTGTTGTGACGAGTGTTCCAACTAGTGTTCCATCACCCGGCATCACGCGCTCTACTGATGGCAGATTCCAACGCAGTTAAAGAACCGTCGTTGTTGAGTTTTTCTGTTGAAATAGAGCTGGTATTTTACGCCTACCTCACCTGCCTTCTTAAAGCTTTCCTGTGTTGTGTTGAATCAATAAAGATCCTCGCCTCAATGATGTGTTTCTGTTCTGCTCCTTACACGTTGTACAGTAATACGGACAAAATGTTGACCGGAGACTTTAGGAGTACAGGGTGGGGCAGAACCGATTGAGCAGTTCAGAGCAGTCAGTGCTCGCAGGGAAGGAAGAGGATGGGCGAGAGGGTGTTTTTTTCCAGTCCCTCCGGTATTCCATTTCAGTAGCCAACATGGTGTGGTTATGAGAACATTGTGGCTTTGCTGTGCGCGAATACTTCGAGAACAAGCAATCCGTGATTGCAACGCAAAAGGCTTTTCGGCGGCGGTTCAATATTCCACGCAATGATGCTCTTCCTCAGGCGAACACAATTCGGTCCTGGGTTAGGCAGTTGCAGGCAACTGGTAGCACACTAAGAAGAGATACACATGGCCGACGGAGGTCCATCAGAACAACAGAAAATGTCGAGAGGGTTAGAGCAACAGTCATCCACTCGCCAAGATCGACGTTCTGCATGAAGGCATGCCGTTGCTTTGGGAATCTCCTCACGCAGTTTGAAGAGGATTCAGCATAGGAATTTGCATTTCCATCCCTACAAAATGATGATGGCCCAACTACTGAACGAAGCAGACTTTGCCAGCCGCCGAAATCTGTGTGGGAACATGCTTGAACAGATTGCTTCCGACGCAGCGTTCTTCGGCAGTGATGAAGCGCATTTTCACCTCTGTGGGACTGTAAATAAGCAAAATTTTCATTACTGGGCTAATGATAACCCACAAATTATCCATCAAAGACCACTACATTCTCCCAAACTAACGGTCTGGTGTGCCATTTCGCAATTTGGTGTGATGGGCCCATACTTCTTTGAGGAGGAGGGAGTAACCGTGAAAGTGAATTCCGAACGCTATGCTGCAATGTTGCAAAATTTCTTGCAGCCCATGATGGAAAACATTGTTGAAAATGAAGCATTCAGAGACGTGTGGTTCCAGCAGGATGGGGCTACAGCTCACACAGCCCGAATGTCACTCAATGTTTTGAAACGCGTGTTTCCTGGACGTCTGGTGTCTCGATCTTGAGGGATAATTTACAGTGGCCTGCAAGGTCACCTGATTTGAGCATTTGCGATTTCTTTCTTTGGGGACATCTAAAAGAAAGGGTGTTCAGAAATTGCCCTCACACCCTACCACAGCTAAGGGAACGGATTATTGCAGAGGTTTTGGCCATACCTTGCCATATGTGTGAACGTGCTGTAGGAAACTTCCGAGAACGACTCCAACAGTGTGTTGCAGCTAACGGCCACCATCTTCCTGATATTGTTTTCAAAACAAAAGTATTCTAAATGGTATGTTATGCTAACCTCGAGGAAAATAAACTTTATTCTTTATGTACCTCCATTACTCTTTTATTTCGCCTCAAAACTGCTTAATCGGTTCTGCCCCACCCTGTACAACAGCAGAAAAGACGTACAACTCAAATCTATGTGCTTTAATAAAAGAAAATAAATACTCCTGTAGCTGTGCATTAATACGTTCCATTCATTATTATGTTTCAATGGAATTTTTTGTTTGAAGTGAGCAGGCGAATAAACTTATTATGCAACAATTCCTATTCCAAGAAAAAATAAGGGTTAATTTCTGCCGGCTTAAATCATGAGCATTCATCGTAGGTGGAAAGTCACGTGTGAAAATGTAACCAATTAATGATATGCAAATGGTTATGGTTTATTAAATTTAGTTACTAGACGGTAAAAACGGGCAGCTACTACACGCCTGATAACTACTGTATACTGTATAAATTATACTGTGCTATTCAGCCGTGTGAATACGACTGGTTGTCAGCCAATATGCATTTGCGGTGCGATGCTTTGAATCAAAATCTCATAATAGACCAAATCCACCATGGCTCATGCAGCCTTCAAGTGAACGCAGTTTTTGAGGCATCATATTTAGTATGACTTTCTTATACGTAATCTCTTTCGGAAAAAATGTTGGCTCTTGAATTATATCAACTGAATTTCAAGCTTTGTGTTAAAATGACTTTCATGTTACGTTTTGCTAGTAATCTGCAACCTTTTACGAGGACAACTTCCTATTAAAACAAAATTTTTTCGAAAATGCGATGACGATTCATTTAAAATTAATTAGGATTTAGTCGAAAATACTCAATTCAAAAATTTCTTCGGTCACCAAATGAATGTATTATGGGATTGAATTAGCTGAAGTATTCGACAATACTGACAATAATGTTAATTTCCTGCCAGAAAAAGATGTATCGCGTTTCAAGCAACCAAAAGACAGAACAAATTGTGCTGAAACACAACTCTAATGCATGTACATATTGAATAGATTGGTTATAGACATGCACCCTTTCAGTCATCTTCAAACAAGTCATAGAATGCAAATTAGAGCATTGGCTCAGGGATATAAAAATTGGTTCTTTACTACGCCTAATTTCAATTCCTTTAGCTGATCGATTCAGTGAGACAAGAGACAAAATAATTAGCAACTCGGTATTGACATTGGAAGATTTGCAGCTTTTTATTTTTGTGGCAAAGCGTACAAAATTCATTTTGTGATATTAATAATCTTTCATCGACGTTGTAGTTTAAACTATTTGATAAATGGAGACCCTTCAAAAGAGGCGCTCCTTGTCCGTCTCAAATGAGCCCTCAGCTGCCACTTGTCTTCGTGCGGCTCTCTTGTGGCTCATTAAATTCATTTAAATAGCAACAAAACCTCTAGTGACCTCAAACATTAGACTATGGTCGTAAGGTTATTCAACGATTGAAAATAAAATGGAAGGTAATTATAAAGAAGATAATGATATGTATGAAACGAAGAACAAATACTAAAATTCCTTGCTCGGTGGTTCGCCTCCTGTGGCGCAAGGGGGACTCGCCCGGGGCCGGCAGCTGTTGGCCCCTGGAGCGGCAAAGGATCCACCAGGGGGCGGGGGGCAATGTGGGGTCAAGCCGCAAGGGGAGATGCCCAACACCCCCCCGCTCACAGCAGAGGAAGAAGGGAGTAGCCGCCCCGGACCCCTCTTTAAATACTTTCGAGGCGAAGGGGGGGGGGGCAAGTCCCTGACGGGGATCGACGGCCCGGAAACGGAAACGGAAACGGAAATACTAAAATTACCAAAACATAAACCACGCGTTGTCCAAGCCAAAAAATTTATATGACCCAAGTCTTGCCGGGGCTTCTGAGCCTTTCTCTGTTATGGATAACTTAATATTGAAATTAAACTGAGCGTGTCCAAACAAAGACTCAGAAATATACGTAATCCAATTGTAATGAGACAATATATTGCCGGAGTGCTGGAAGACTACGTCTTTATCACTCGAGAACTGTCTTGCAGTATTTAGCATAGGTACGAATAAAAGACACCGAATTTTTGGCACACATGTTGTTCTGGGTAGAATTCCAAGAGCCACTCAATAATAGCCAGGCACGAACAATTAGAAATAAAGTCTTCCGAAATCTTCATTTATTTCTGTTTTGTTAAACTGCGGGACAGAAAACGCCACAAATAAAAAGAAAGTCAATTATACAAAAAATAAAAGTGCTTTTCAATTAATGAAGAATTTAGGTTTAACGAGATGCCAGATGTATCATAATGAATCGCTTATGGCTGCAAGTTACTGAACTTACTTGAATGGCAGCCCTAGTCTGAATTGGAAAAGTTCAGTTGGAATTTGGTTGCTTTTCCCTAGTCCTTAGAGATAAACAAAGTTACGTTACACTGGTGATAAATGGACGTACAGAGCATGACTCGCTCACTAAAGCACACGATCAACGTACGAGATAAGATTCACAAATCACAATAAATTGACAAAACATGTATAACACTTATAACTAAACGGCCTATGGAGTAGCGCTACTCCCAGCAGCAGCTATCTACACAATGTGCGGGCGGGGCGGCCGTGCATTTGAATACTGTGACGTCCGCGCTATTAACGTACGAATAAATAATTGCACGTCACCCGCGTACTGGACGTGACACATGTATTTTAACGGGTATGTACAATGCGTTGTGTCGTGTAGTTCCATCTCTAAAATAAAAATTAACAAAAGATTGAAATGATGAAACATAAAGTCCGGCAAAGTTTGAACAAGACGGAAAACTCTAAAGCAAATAGAATAATTACTTTTACTAAAATAATTCCTGATTTGTGTAAATTGATACTATTCTATTATAATATAGAATAGTAATATTACACCGCGTTCCCTTACAGCTCCACAGAAATCATCAAGACATCGATATAATTATTTATCAAAGTGTGGGCAGAGGGCGTGAGGTATTTTTGCTGGCGGGATGTTTATGCATTGCATTTTATTTTAATTAGATAGATAATGCAATGATATCTCGTAATTAATGAATATTTACGGGCAAGGAAATTATTCTGGAGGGATGTCGTGCAACATTTACATAAAAGATAAAAAAGGTGACATAGAAATGAAAAATTTTGACCGAAGTATCAGCATAGGTAGAAATATGTAATTATAAGATAAGACTGTAATATAGCGCTATATGAGTAACAATACCTGCAAACTCACGCTTGTCCTACTCTAAGGTGAGCAGGCAGTCCATCATGGTGAGTCTTAAAACAAATTTAGCACCACAGCAGCTAGCCACGGCATCTCATCATTTGTCAGCATCACGATCCCCCAGTTACCAAGCACCCAGGGTTCGTTTAGGGACACCAAACCAAGGCCATGCTGGAAGCACCAACTTTGACGGCGATCAAGCGCCGCCCGTCAGCGACATC